AAAAAAAAAAAAAAAAAAAAAAAAAAAAAAAAAAGCCACCACAGATGGCCAGAGCAGAGTCAATTGATATATACAAATGTAGAAATGATATGTAATATAGTGTCAGGGAGACAAAAAAACAAATTAGAGAAAATGAGGTAGAAGGATGGAACATGAGGGTGACTAGGTAAATGGTGATGAGCCACAAAAGAGAGCTATAAGTCAAATAACTTTACAAATGACTACAGGATAATTTTATGCCAAGCTGGTGGCTGTTGCCAGAAAAGGCTACTTGCAAGAGATGCCAAGATCTCAGAAGAGATGATGGCGAGAAAAGCAAAAGGGTGATATAATGGTTCCTGGGTCCCGCCTAGCAGGGCCCTGACACATCCCTGGAGTCTAGACATTACTGACCCACAGTTGGTTTTGATAAAGCCCCATGCATACACTCTCGTCCACGGCTGGCACCTCGCCCCCGTCTTGGTGGCCCACCACGTCGCCGACTATAGTCTCTGTCCCGGTCTCGACTTTCTTTGCCTTCCTCATTGGATTCCATCTGGCCACCATCCTTCTGTCCCGAGACTCCCTTCTTCTTCCCGACCATCTCCCAGGAATGCTAAAGAGGATAGAGCATTCATGTCCAATCAATATAGAATGCTATCAGAACACAGAGATGTAAGCTAGAACAACTGATTGATTTAACCACTCTCCTCTCAGCATCTATGTCTAAGATGCTTCCATTAGTTTACTTCTCTGTTTAAATGGAGGGTACAGACAGAAATCCAAAACAAACTTTATACCTATCACTGCCAATATTAAAGTCCTTTTTGTAGGGGAGGTGCTTATAGGTAATGGATAGTAGAGATTACTTCCAAAAGGATTACCAAGTTCTCTATCCAATTCAGTCACTCAGCATGTTAGTCAAAGGACCTAGTTAATGGTCCCTATCTTTCAAGTGGTTTCCTGGGCTGGAAAAATTAATTCCCTTTGGATTCAGTGACTCAATTCTTTATAATCTTATTCTCATCAAATAAAGCAAAAAAGAAAACTCAAAGTTTCTAAAAGTTACCCATGAATTCAGGACGAATGAGCAGCATTTGGTTCTTGTGCATATTCTCTAATCAAGCGACCCATAAATGCAGAAGAAAACACACACACACACACATTCTCTCTCTCTCTCTCTCTCTCTCTCTCTCTCTCTCTCTCTCTCTCTCTCTCTCTCACTTACTTCATTTAAAAGATGACCAAACAGAAGTTGCAGCCCTGGCCCTGAGACATACTGATTAAAGGAATGCTTCCATCCAGGTTTTACCCTTCTCCCTATGCTTCCTAAACTGATATAATCCTATTTAACTTTCCCCAAAGCAGAATATATATCTATGATACTTCCAAATTGTCGGAGGGAAAATTTGGGGTAAGGAAAGTAAACTAAATGCCCTTGTAAAACACTCACTCCTTAGGAAAATAAGCTTTATAAATTTAAAGTTTTAAAAACATGCACACCTTGATCTACACATTATTTTTGCAGAGATCTGTACAAACAAAAGTTCCAGGACAAACACCGAGAGTATCAGATCTTTACTATCTTAGTTACCATCTAACTCAATCAACTATGTCCCTGTTGCTCAATGACACCTGCCTAACATCTCATAACTTTCTAGAACATGGACCAGGTATTAGTAATATAAAATTGTTATTAATTTTCTCGATTGATAATAGTATTATGGCATGTAGAAGAGTGTCCTTCTTCAAGAAAAGCATGTTGGGGCTGGCCCGTGGCTCACTCGGGAGAGTGCAGTGTTGAGAACACCAAGGCCCCGGGTTCGGATCCCACATAGGGATGGCCGATTTGCTCGCTGGCTGAGCATGGTGCTGACAACACCAAGTCAAGGGTTAAGATCCCCTTACCGGTCATCTTTTTAAAAAAGAAAAAAAGAAAAGCATGTTGGGGCTGGCCCGTGGCTCACTCGGGAGAGTGCAGTGTTGAGAACACCAAGGCCCCGGGTTCGGATCCCACATAGGGATGGCCGATTTGCTCGCTGGCTGAGCATGGTGCTGACAACACCAAGTCAAGGGTTAAGATCCCCTTACCGGTCATCTTTTTAAAAAAGAAAAAAAGAAAAGCATGTTGAAGAATTTAGGAAATAAGGTATTATGAGATCTACAGCTTGGGCCAGCCCGTGGCTCACTCGGGAGAGTGCGGTGCTGATAACACCAAGCCAAGGGTTGAAATCCCCTTACCGGTCATCTTAAAAAAAAAAAAAAAAAGATATCTACAACTTATTTCCAGATAATTACAAGTGTCCATGGATGGATAAATGAATAAAACAAATAAAAAAAAATACATACAGTGGAATACTATTCTGCCTTAAAAAAGATGAAATTTTGACTCTTGCCACAATATGGATGAACATTAAGCTAAGTGAAATAAGTCAAACACAAAAGGACAAATACTGCATGATTCCACTTACACGAGGTACCTAAAACAGGCAAATTCATAAAAACAGAAAATAGAAGAGGTTACTAGGGGTTGGGGGGAAGGAGAGATGGGGAGTTATTATTTAACAGGTACAGAATTCTTGTTTAGGATGATGATGAACAATTTCTGGAAATGGATAGTGTTCACAGTTGCACACATTGTGAATGCCACTGAATTACACACTTAAAGATGGTTAAAATGGTAAATCTTATCTACATTTCATCACAACAAAAAGCTTTCAAGTTAAAAAAAAGGAAATTTAAAATTATTATAAAAGTGTATCTACATATTCTAAAGAGTCAACAATACATAGCTTACTAAAGCAGTAATTTTTAAATAGATGAAGTAGCCACCTAGGACTCAGGAGTTGCTTGCTGCCTACTCTTCCAACCCAAGCTCATTCCACATTACAGTTGGTAAATCATTTTATGCTCACAGTAGCTTCAATTCATAAGGTATAATAACCCTGTTGCTAAATCTGCACCAGAGGGCCGAGCCCGTGGCGCACTCGGGAGAGTGCAGCGCTGGGAGTGAAGCGACGCTCCCGCCGCGGGTTCGGATCCTATATAAGAATGGCCGGTGCGCTCACTGGCTGAGCACGGTGTGGGTGACACCACACCAAGGGTTGCGATCCCCTTACCGGTCACGAAAAAGACAATAAATAAATAAATAAATCTGCACCAGAAACTCTCACAACTAGACTCAAAACAGTTAGCTTTTAGAATTTACACTAGCATGTCTCAAAACCTGGCAAATTTCAGGAATCCGTCACCTTTCTCCCTCCCCTGTGTACACATCAGCTACTGGCACCAGATGGGTTCTATAAGGAAAAAGAATTGCTATGATCTTCCCAAAGGTCCTGCCAGTTTTCTGATATGATCTCACCTACACAAATACATCCAGCATCCCTGGCAGTTGACTTTGCTTCCCACTGATTTCATGAGTAGCTGGTTTATTTGTGGCATTAGCCTACATTGTCCAGCTTGTTTTCTCTCTTTTTTTTTTTTTTTGTCTTTTTGTCTTTTTTCATGTCCGGCAATGGATTGCAACCCTCAGTGTCGCGCCCGTACCGGACTGGGACCGGCAACGGGATCGCAACCCTCGGTGCTGCACCTGCACCTCGCTCAGCCAGTGAGCCGGAACCGGTCTGTATGTGGGATCTGAACCCTCGGCGGGAGCACCGCCGCGCTCCCAAGCGGCGCACTGTAGCAGTGCGCCACCGGGCCGGCCCCTTGTTTTCTCTTTCGATACTGTGGAAAGTCAGACTTATAGCACTAGACAAAAGATGTTAGAAGGTGAGACAAAATGTGACTTGTGCAAAAAAAATATTCAGACTTTTAAAAAAGCCAAAAATCTTGAGACAATTATTCTAGAGTAAACCCAAAATGAACCAAAGGCACTCTTCATTGTCCAGGAAGTGAATTTTCAAATAAGGTCAAAACTAACTAAACTTTTTTTGGGGGAAGGGGGTGGTTATACATAGAACTACACTTTTGAAGGAAAAAAATCCACAAATTTAAATTCAGTGATTTAAAAAATGTTTTCTACTATTATTTCCCATTGTCTCAAGGAAACTGACCAACTTTTAACATTTAGCTGAGGTGAGTCACACTGTAACATCAGAAAGTTGATATCTCTAAAGGATGAACTCTGGTACCTATCAGAATGAAAGACCAAGTAAATGAAAATGATTTCAAAATGATACACTGCACATTTTTAAAAAAATAAAGTTTTCGGGCCAAGCCCGTGGCACACTTGGGAGGGTGCGGCACTGGGAGCACGGCGGCGCTCCCGCCGTGGGTTCGGATCCTATATAGGTATGACCGGTGCGCTCACAGCACTCACTGGCTGAGCGTGGTGCGGCCAGTCTCAAAAAGGACAAAAAATAAATAAATAAAGTTTTCTAGTAACAGTAGCACTACAGGACGATTCCAAAAGTTAATAAGGGAGTGTCCCTGTTCTTAAGAGCCTTACAATCTGGTACAAAGACAAATAAAAAAACAGAATTCTAAGTGGGAAGGACACGAAGAGGTGAATACAACTTGTCTAAATTCTAGGGCAAGAGGTCCTCCAGCCCCTTGAGGGTTGGTCATAAGCTGTAAAGTAGGCTGTAAAGCTAGTTTCTCTGCTTCCTTAACAGAAATAAGTTAAGGCAATAAGATGGTATTGTGTGCTGTGAAGCTGATATCAGTGGGAATGTCCTGAATTCAGAACCAAATATAGTTTGTGACTTTGTTCAACAGCAATAAAAAAGCAGAAATATTCGATGATTAGTAAGACTATCAAATAGCACCTCTAATTCAGATTAACTGAAGCCTTGAAAACAGACACGAGCCTGGAATGAACAATTTATTCTAGACCAAGTAGAAAAAACTGATTTCACCTGTTTTCTTCTATGACTATTAGTCCCACGAAGATGTATTTATAGATAAATTTTTAGTACTTGCAACAGCCAGCAATCTCCAAGAAAGTTCCCTACTCTACTTGGAGAATAAGGTACTCTGCTTTAAGGTGAGTTACCCCACTTGCTATTTTTAGAATACTTCTGACCTCCCAACCTGGGACCCATGTTCTAGAACACTTTATTAGCACTCATACCGTGTCTGGGTTTCCTTCCAGCAGAACATTGATGGCTCTGTTGACATCTCCATTGCAGTCATGCAAAGCAATCACACATTCATCCTGGTTCTTGCCTGTGATATCAATCAACTGAAAGAGAAAGATCAGCAACCATCATGAACAACCCTGTACTCCCCACAAAAGGAAGAAGTTAGGTGAAGGGAGAAGACACCAGCCAAATTTGAAACCACGCTTAAAAAGCAAAATATGTAGGCCGGTCTGTGGCTCACTTGGTAGAGTGCGGTGCTGATAGCACCAGGGCCACGGGTTTGGATCCTATATAGGGATGGCCGGTTTGCTCACTGGCTGAGCGTGGTGCTGACAACACCAAGCCAAGGGTTGAGATCCCCTTACCGGTCATCTTTAAAATAAAAAGCAAAATATGTAGAATTTTGGCAATCTGTTTTCAAAAGCAAAATACTAACACCTGTGGTTTAAGGATGGGTCAAAAGTATTTACAAGAGGGCTGGCCTGGTGGCGCAATGCTATAGTGCGCCGCTTGGGAGCACGGCAGTGCTCCTGCCGAGGGTTCGGATCCCACATACAGACCGGTTCCCGCTCACTGGCTGAGCGAGGTGTGGGGGCAACACCGAGGGTTGCAATCCCGTTGCCGGTCCCGGTCCGGTACGGGCGTGACACTGAGGGTTGCGATCCGTTGCCGGACACGAAAAAAGACAAAAAGGAAAAAAAAAAAAAAGTATTTACAAGAAAATAAAACAATTAAGCATCAAATAGATAATCAAATCCTGAAACATAGGCTTCAGCATACCATGAATTTCCACATTCCCTAGATCCACAACCATTCAAAGTTGCTATAAAACGGCATCAACAAAATCATTCAATAAACAAGAGGTTAAAATTAATTTAAAACATCTCTGAGCAAAGTATCTATCCAAAGGGTTATAATAAATCAGACACTAAAAGCACTTATTTTTCAGCCTAACCTATTTGACTTCAGGTCACAATTCTTTTTATATCTACAGTAGAAAGTATCCTGGTGGGCACCTATATTTATTTATGCTTTAATCCTGATATCTTTTCCCATAGCTTACAGCAAATTAGTGGTATACTCACTTGTTTCACCTTCTCTTCAAAGTCAGCATCATTATGGTCCGAAATCATCTGTGCAAGTCGAATTTGTTCTGCAGTGGCCTAGGAATTCAGATGAGATCAAGAAAGGATAATCAAGAGGCAACAGTTTGGAGAAATAAGAGGGACCTAGGTAGTCAATCTCCACCCTCCCCACCACCCCAGTTTCCTTTTCCTTGTTACAAATGATGAAATAATAAAACACCATTTAAGAGGCTTAAATCAGCAAAATACAAAAAACAAAGTAAAGCTGTTACTATTTCACTTTACAGTCCCAGAAAGAGCAGGGAGCTTTTCACCAATGTTGATAGTTAAAGGGGCTTTCCTGGAATCATAGCACCACTTTAAAACATGTGCCCCTTAATTCACATTAGAATATTTGCAAAGTCATGTGTAAACCCTGTCTTTATTTCTGTAATTACCAATGCCATCTTCTTATTCCCAAGGCTGAGAATAAAGTTTAGTATGAGGATAGCCTCTACATATCTTTTGCGTATCTAGCATATATTAAGATACCAGGAATTTTACTACCCCAATTGAGATTTAGTATTAAAATTTTACTAGAAATTTACTTGGAAATAGAAGTGAAAAAATGCATAAAGGGTAAGTCCCAGAATCTTACCTAGTCAATTACATGACCATAGGCAAATGTAACTAATTCATTTATATTAGTTATCAACCAACACCAAACTGGTTATGGAAAACAGACTGTATCTAAATCAAACTTAATACCTAAGAGGTTAATTGACTCCTTAAAATTTAAAACTGAGAAATGCTGTAAGGTGTCTCATTTGTTAATTTTGAATGAACATAATGAAGATACCAGCTCCACATGAGAAAAGAAAATTCAGGTACGGCCAACATGATACCAGAGAAGATGATAAAAGACAAGTCAGGGAAAAGAGAAACAAAGGAGAAAGTCTAGAAGGGGAAAGGTGTCGAGATAAAGGTTGGCTAGAGAAATGTCAAGGTGGAAGGTCTAGGAAATAAGAAATGTACTGTTAAAATGGCTCAGATGAGAAGGGAAATGCTATCTTAGAGATATAAGTCACAGGACCCATAATACGGCACTCAGCCTCATAACGCATTATTAAAGAACAAAAAAGTAGGCATTCTGCATAACAGCATGTCCTTAACAGATCAAGCCCTAAGTAAAAAAAGAGCCAAGGACTAGAAAACAAGAAAAAGGAACCTAAAGCTGGCCGGAGAGCTCAGTTGTTTAGAGTGCAGTGTTGATAACACCAAGGTCAAGGGTTTGGATCCCTGTCCCAGCCAGCCGCAAAAATAAATAGATAAATAAGCAAACAAATAAATAAGGAGCCTAAATCAACAATCCAAAGCACAGAATGATGCTATATTGTATGGAAACCATTATCAATTAGCAATGCTACCCATGGATCCATATCCCCTGGGTTCTTTACCTGTGGTCGCTGCTTGTGCTGTGTCTGGTTTTGGTTTTGAGGTTGTTCCCAGTTTCCCCGGGCTCGGTTAGTGCCCACCGACGTCATCATTTACAGTATATACAAATAACAGTATTTACAAGGTAGAATACTGAAAGATTAGGGAAAAAAAAGTTTAGGTGTTAAATGTAGGCAAAATGTGTTTTTAACCTCTCTTTCAACAGCACCTTTACCACCACTTTCATTTCTTCAAAGAACAAACCAAGATTTGCCTATTCTTGATACATATTGTTTGATAAATTACCTAAGGAACCATGGCTGTTAATCTACTATAACAAAAAATGTCTATAGCTTTGTAATGTTTAGCTATCTTGATAGTAGGCAAAACAATGTTAATAATCAAAAGCCTTCTATATATGTGCAAGTATCTGAAGTCCCTTTGACAGAAGGAAAGATAATCAGCAAAGCCTGGAAACAAAAGCCTTCCAGGAAAGGGATTAGTCTATACTCCAAAGAAATGACAATTTAAAAAATACTATATTCAATATACCTAAGAAAACAGCCTTACCTGCCTTACAACTGTTTTACATTAAGTTGCATGTGACCTCCACTGTTTGGGAAAGGACAATTTCAAGTCTAGCCTCTTTCTCCCTCAAGTTTCATCTCTCAGCATGCTATGGATTGTTTTGTTTTTTTTAACCATAACCTTCAACACAGCATATATTAGCCCCAGTGACTTTGTCCAGAATCTCAGTTCTCTGAATAATTCCACCACCCTGCTTTTACAGCTGTTCTGTTGGTCTTCTCTACATTTTCAAGAAACCAGAATTGCAATTACACTCCACCACTCACCTTGATATACAGGGAATCCCAAATTTGTCTCAAACCAAACGCATCTAGTACAAAGTTTTATTTGGAAGAAAGATTCTAGGAAATCATTTTAAACTTGAGAAATTAACGCCACCAAGATGACTTAGTTGAGTCCTTAAAGAGACACACAGTACACTAGAAAGGCCCTTCCCAAAACCAGAACATAGTTTTTGTTGTAAGACTTCAAACAAGCAAGGATTCTACTGAATTCAAGTTCTCATCATTCATACTTTCATTTATAAGGCAACCACAGCTGCTGCATTTAGTAAACAAAGAAAATATTCATCAAATAATGGAGTGATCAAAATAAGGTTATTTTGCAGTTTTATTCCCTTCTAAAGAGGACAAGCATAAATCTTTCTTTTCTATATTTAATTTTTTTGTTAATGAAACTTTATACAGGGTAATTCTAGACTGCCCAGAAGACATAGCTGGATTAGAGGAAGAAGCAGGGAAAGCTTCTAAAGAAATATGCAAGGATTAACTATTAGGGAAGTGAATTTCATCTGTTTCTTGGATGTCACAAAGAAAGCTGACTTCCCTGTGGATAAATTCTTCACCAACTTACGTCAAAAAGTTGCATAGGTCCTTATTTTTTGATGTGGTCATTAAGAATTAAGAGTTCTACATTATCACCAAGGAAGATTTTTTAAGGCAGCTTCAGGGCTAGTTTTGAACCATTACCTCTTCCCTCCACACTCATGTGCACACAAAGGCCTGTAAATATTTCAAGCTAGTACAGGATTACTTGCTACACAGTAATCCATTTTCCCAGACTGGCATTATGGTCAAGTTTCAACACTTAATTTACCAAAAAAAATCCAAGTGTTGTTTAACCAAGTACCCCTGAATCCAACCAAATCAACATGAGGAAAAAAATCAAGTTAACACTAGAGGAAAACTATTGTTTTAAAATTGGCCCTAAGATGAAGTTTCTAATACAGAGTAGTCATTTCCAATCCAACCCTGCAACTTACAAATATTGACTGCTTTCTACTCAACATGTGATATTTGTGAGAATGAGTTATACTGTAAATATAAACTGCATGACTAGCTATACACACAACTACATATGCTGTACCAGTCACATATAAATATATTTTATTTTATTATTATTATTTTTTTAAAAGATGACCGGTAAGGGGATCTTAACCCTTGACTTGGTGTTGTCAGCACCACGCTCACCCAGTGAGCTAACCGGCCATCCCTATATGGGATCCGAACCCGTGGCCTTGGTGTTATCAGCACCGCACTCTCCCGAGTGAGCCACGGGCCGGCCCAGATATAAATATATTTTAAAAGTGATCTTGAAAGACACATAATCAGGAAAGAAAAACACTCTTGCTATTAACATTTCCCTCTTAAAGAGCTTTGAAATGTGTGACTAAAAGAATTTTACTACCTAGGTAGCAACAACATTGAGCAACAGGACAAAAGTAAGTGATCTGAGGTGGAGCACTTGAGGGCACAGAATTAGTAGCCTTTCAGTAGCAAGCAGAGACACAAACCCAGAGTTATCACAGTGGAGGTGAGGAATCTTGTTACTCTTTTTTAGAAAATAAAAATAGTTAAGGGAAATGGGATAAGAAGTATTGGAGACCAAGGAAATAGTGTGAGAGCAAATAAATAAGGGTTTCATTTTTTTGAAAACCAGCTACTTAAAAAAATAGCCAGAGAAATTTTACTGAAAAAAATAAGCAACAAGTATTTATTGAGTGTCTACTATGTGTCCAATACTTCAGGAAATACAAAAGCAATATGATTTGGTTGCTGCCCTCAGGGAGCTTACAATCTAATTTGAGACACAATTCAGAAAACTCTGAAGCTGGACTGGGCAGGTAACGCTTGCTACCCCTAACAAAGCCAAGTAATTTCCCTAGATGCTTTGTTTAAATGACGACCCCTGTATCCCCTTCCCCACCACCGTGAATCTATTAAGAGTACTTCCCAGTTAGGACACACTTAGCAAGGAGGGGCTTTAAAAATAAAAACCAAAACGGTACATTTTTAGGCCTTTCAGCACCAGTTTACATGCCAGCAATACTTCCCATTCACAACGGCAACATCGTGGGGATAGTCTAATCTTTAAGAATAATGGCGTGGGATTTCAAGGCAGTATTATCAACCCATACACAGCCACAATGTTTTCTTTAGTAACTCTGGTTGACACCAACCCCCATCACCTCCCAGAAAGTCACATTAGGTATCCCCAAAGCAGGATATGGGGATGTGGAAGGTGAATGAAGAAGAGATAAAAAAAAAAAGGATTTCTCCACTTAATAATCATGGAGAGTGAAAGGCAAAAACGTTAACAATAACAACAAAAACGCCTGTTACTGTGGTGTTTTTCTTCCTACAACATCCTACACCAGAGGTGGCTACATGTCAAGTATGGTGGAAAAGGAGGAGTCTCCTGTTTGTGACATCAGTTTCCAAAGCAATTTAGGGGTTGTCCATAAGGTGAAGGGTCTGAAGAAATTTGGAATTCCTATCCCATTATGAAAAGAGTGAACAAATACCTCAGTGCTCTAGTGACGTCCCCTAGTCGTAACACACCCTACGGCGGCCTCCATGTCCAGCTTTCCAAATAACATCATAATTGTTTGGGGTACCCAAAACTACAGTATAGACAAGAGGAAGCTAAACACAGCAGCAAAAACATATTCCAAGAGCCGGGTCAGTGAGAAAGAAGAAAGAATAATAAGAGGAGCTCACAAAGAGGCTAGAAACGGAGAGGGGACGGAAGCCCACGCGTGGAGGATGGGAAGCTCAGCGCCACATCGGGAGCCCACGGGGCCAATCGCCTCGCTACCTCCCACCCGGAACAAATTAATCCTCCGCACTCCAAACTGAGGGCCACATGGGGGAGTTTGGGGCAGTTCCACCCCATTGCCCTCCTTCCCCCACCCCCCACCACCCCCAAAGCCAGGCCGGATCTGGATCAGAGGAGGCAGGCTGAGGGTTGGAAAGGGAGGAGGCCCTCTCCTTCGCCACCGGCACAGGCCAGGGTAGGGAGAGGGCCCTACTACAGAGGGCCCAGGCCTCGCTCGCTCGCGCTCTTTCTCGCTCTCCCCGCTCAGGCTCTAGCCGCATGCCCCCCCTCCGGCTGTCCCAAGCCCCGCCCCGGCCACGCTCCCAAATCGAGGCCCCGGCTCTGGCGCGGCCCACTAGGCCGCGAACCCAACCATAAACAAACCCTCCGGCGGCCGACTGCTGGGGGGGGGACTCCAGGGCTCGCCTGACTGGGTGGGGGTGTACAATGGGGAAACATACAGTGCGGGGGGGCCTACCGAGGGAGGAGGATACGGAGGGGGTAGGGGAGAAAGGAGGGAGGGTAGAAGGGGGATCGCGGATTTAAAGGGGCCGCGGACAATACCCGGCCCCGCCGCGCTGCCGCTGCCGCCGCCGCCGCCGCCAACGCCGCTGCGCTCCCAACTTTACCTCAGTCTCCTCCACACTGACACCCCGGGCCGCGCCGCCCCTGTCACGTGATATAAGATTCCCTCCTCCCCACCCCCCTCCCTCCTTTTCCCTCTCGCGCTCGTTCTCGCGCCTTCCCCCTCCCACTTGCCTTCCTGCGTCCCCCAGCACGTGATGCGAACAGGGACGCGCACGCAAGCGTGCGCGTGCCGCCTCGCCACGAGACACCTCACTCCGGCTCCGCCCGCCTTCTTCACGGCGGCTCTGCCTCCGCCACGTGACGCACGGGTGGCCTCCGCTTCCTTTCACTGGCGTAGTTCGGCGACTCTGCACGCGCCACTCCCGGGTGCCATTGCCGGCCTGAGTCACGTGTTGGGGGGAAGCGGGAAGGCGACGTTCTCTTTTTGTAGCCCCCTTATCCGCCATGTTTTCAGGCCGGGTCTGGCTTGGTCCTTTCCCGTAAGGAAATGGCCGGGGAATTCCAGAGAACCCAGGCGCCATTGCTTCGGCGGAGCCTGGACTGAGGAGGAAGGGCAGCGGGGTAAACCCGAGCGGTTCTGCTCAGGGTAGGGAGGCCATGGCGTCCGGCAGTAACTGGCTGTCCGGGGTGAATGTCGTGCTGGTGATGGCCTACGGGAGCCTGGTGAGGAGATCCCCCACCCCGTTCCTGCTGTCGTGTCTGACCCAATGGAGACCCTCCTGTTGCGCTCTTCCCTCTCTTCATCTTTCACTTACCTGTGGTTTTTCTGGGCCTAGACTCCTATTTCAGGAGTACCTGGGAGCTTTAAGTTGCCGACCCGGACCGACCTGCCCCTGGATGACAACCCTCTCTCTCAACCCTGGGACACAGACCCCCACCACTACTTACCACTACTGGCTTCCCTAGATCCACCTCCATCTTTGATGGCCTTGCTTTGCCCCAAGTTTTACTCCGAAGTGTCCTGGAGAGCCCGAATCTGAGGATTTGGAATAAAGGCATGCCTTTTTTTTTTTTAACTGTACTTTTATTAAAGGTTCTTTATTTTTCATATCTTTTTGGACAGGTGTTTGTACTGCTATTTATTTTTGTGAAGAGGCAAATCATGCGCTTTGCAATGAAATCTCGGAGGGGACCTCATGTCCCTGTGGGACACAATGCCCCCAAGGTAGGTCCTTAGAGCATGAAATAAACCTGGTTCTCCAGCTTTTTAAAGGACAAGAATGAGATTTCCTCTGCCTTTAGAGATTACCTTGATTCCCGTGTTTCGTTGTCCAATTATCTTCGTACTTATTAAGTTCAGCAGTAGCTGCCAGCCTTGGGATTTGGCTTACCTGCTTACTGCTGTGGCACAGCATGTAGCTTACCCAGGAACTTCAGTTTTTGCATCTGCGGGGTGAAGAGCTTCGATTGAAGTTCCCAACTCTGTCTTAAGATGTTTCCCAGTACATCTTAAATTACCCAGTGTTTTTTGTTTGATTTTGTCTTAGGATGGGGTTGGAGTGGTTACAGTTAGCCCCAGAGCAATGAGAACTTTGCAGACTTATCATAGCCCCATAAATCATCTAGTTCCCCCATTCGTGTTACAAACAAGCCCAAGAAAAGGAAGCAACTTACCGAGGACGTATAGAAAGTGAATAACCTAATGGTTTCTTAACATTTGTCTATACTCTGTCCTTAGGTGATTATCTGCCTTTCCTTGGCTTTAAGTATCTACAGATGAAATTTTATCTCTATCCCAAACTTCTTTCCTGTTTTTCATACTTAGACATCCAACTACCTACCTGACATTTCCATTTAGATTTCTAACAGGCATCTCAAACTTAACATGTCTAAATCAGAACTTTTGATGTCCCACTGCCAATC